TATCGGATTTGAAGACTAGGTCAAGTAGGAAAGCACAGAGACTCATATTCAACTTGAGAGCTAGTGACAAAAAATTTTTCTACATCGGGGAGGAAAACATTGTGACGTATATCTAACCCAAGCGACAGCGAGTGCTGAGAAGGGTTAGGATTATACCTTTCTCGAAAGTTGAGTGCTGAGAAGGATTATGACTATCTCTATCCCGATTGTTGAGTGCTGAAACCAATTGCTGAGTGCTGAGAAGAGTTAGGACTATGCCTATCCTGACTGCCTAGTGCTGTGAAGGATTAGGTCTGTGTCTATCCCGATTATTGAGTGCTGAGAAAGAAGTAGGACTATGTCTATCTTAATTGCTGAGTGTTGAGGAAAGAGTATGTCTATCTTAATTGTTGAGTGTTGGGGAAGGAGCAGGATATTGCATATCCTAATTGTTGAGTGCTGAATGAATTAGGACTATGTCTATCTTAATTATTGAGTGTTAAGAAGGATTAGGACTATGCATATCCTGATTGCTAAGTGCTGAGAAGAATTAGGACTATTCTTATCCTGATTGCTGAGTTTTAAAAATGATTAAGACTATTCCTATCTCGATTTGTTGAGTTTATGAATTTGTGGAATGCAAGAATTTATGAAATTGTGGTGATTATGGAGTCTTGCAGATATTTTTTGAAATTCACAAAGTTTATGAGAGTGCAGAGGTGTTGCAAAATTCTGCATATTTGCGAAGATACGGAGACTTATGAAGTTGCAAAATTGTGAAGATTTGCTAAGATTTGTGAGGTTTGTAAAATTGTGGAGAATTTACTGAGATTTGTGAAAGCAGAGATTGTGAAGATTTGTTGAGATTTGTGAAAGCAGAGATTTGTAGAGATTTGTGAATGTAGAGATTGTAAACATTTGTGAAGTGTGGAATTTATGAAACTTGTAAAAGCAGAGATTTGCATTGTTTATGTTGAATCTTGTAGAGGTTTATGGGGGAATTTGTGGAAATTTATGCAATGTAGAATTTTGTAGAAATGTGTGCAGGGATTTATGAAATTTTATGAAGTGCAAAGTTTTGTGAAAATGTACTCTGAAAAAGGCTATGCACTTTTCTGAGTTGAAGAAAAATCTCATTTCTATTGAGCAACTCGATGAGTGTGGACATTTATTAGTATTCTCATATAACATCAGGAAGGTTAAAAAATGAGCACTAGTACTTGCTCGGGGTAAGAAAACAAATACAATATATATGACTACTGATTTAATTAATAGTGTTGATACTACCGTTGTAGAGAGCACAACAGAGTTGTGACATTGCAGGCTTGACCACATGAGTAAGAGGGGTATAAAGAAATTTCAGTCCAGAGGCAAGCTAGCGGAACTGAAGTCAGTTAATCTCATCATGTTTGAGAGTTGCATAATTGGGAAACAGAGAAATGTCAAATTCTTGAAAAGTGACAAAATACCAAAGGTAGGAAAACTAGATCTTGTACACATAGATGTGTGGGACCTTCTCCAGCGGCATCTCTTGGAGGCTCTAGTTACTATGTCATATTCATTGATGATCATAGCAGAAAGGTATGTGTTTATTTCTTAAAGCATAAATATGATGGATTTAATGTGTTCAGGACTTGGAATGCCAAGATTGAGACAGAGATAGACTTAAAGCTAAAATGTATGAGGTCTAATACAGGTGGTGAGTACATTGATGGTAGGTTTAAGGAGTATTGTGCAGCTCAAGGTATCATAATGAAGAAAACCATTCCAAGGACATCAAAACAAAATGGTGTTACAGAGCGCATGAACAAAACCATTAATGAGCGGGCTAGAAACATGAGATTGCACGCCGAACTACTACTTACTTTCTGGGCAGAAGCGGTCACACTACAATTTATTTGATCAGTGGGGGACCATCCATTTTGTTAGATTGTGAGTTGTCTGAGGAGGTATGGAGTGGGAAAGTGGTCAATTGTTGTCACCTTAAATCCTTTGGATGTTTTCTTATGTTCTAATTAATCTTGATGCTCAACGTAAATTTCAAGCTAAGTCAAAGAAATGTTATTTCATTAGTTATGAAGATGAGACATTTGATATCATTTATGAGATGATCAAGATCGAAAAATCATAAGGAGCAGAAGTGTGATTTTTAATGAAAAGATGATGTATAAGGACAAGGTTAGTACAAGTTCTGAAACAGTACTGCAAGAATCTGAGTTGGTAAGGTTTGATGATTTACTAGAGGTCACAGTGCAGGACAGAGATGCAAGTGACGAAGAGAGTTGCTTCGGGACACCCATTCATATTGTTCCGCAGTCAGCTGCAAAGTCGTCCACCCCTACAACTACTGTTCGTAGGTCAAAAAGGACTAGAATTTCTCTATAGCGCTACTCACCAACTTTGATTTACATTTTGTTGACAGATAGTGGAGAACCTCAGAGTTATGAATAAACCTTGCAAGATGAAAATTCAAGCAAGTGGGAGCTGACTATGAATGAGGAGATGGATTCCCTGCTAGAAAATCAAGCTTGGGAGTTGACAGAACTTTTATTAGGGAAGAAGGAGACATTACACAACAAGTGGGTGTACTGGGTGAAGACTGAGCATGATGACAGTAAGAGGTACAAGGCTAAACTTGTTGTAAAAGGCTTTCATCAGAAGCATGCTATTGATTATTCCAAGATTTTCTCTCATATGGTGAAGCTCACGACCATCAGAATGGTATTGGATATGGTTGCTACTGAAAAACCTCTTTCTTGAGCAGTTCGATGTGAAGACAGTCTTTCTTCATTGAGATCTTGAAGAAGACATCTACATGCACCAACCTGAAGGATTTGTGGTACAGGGAAAGGAAGATTCAGTTTGTAAATTGAAGAATAACTTGTACGACCTGAAGCAAATTCCTAGACAGTGGTACAAGAAATTTGATGAATTCATGAAAAATGCATGGTACAACAGATGTCAGGCTGATCCTTATTGTTATGCAAGGCATTTTGACAATTCTTATATTATTCTACTGATATATGTTGATGACATGCTTATTGCAGGGCTAGTATTGATGAGATCAATAATCTGAAGGAGCACATATCAGAACACTTTGCAATGAAGGATTTGAGAGCTGCAAAACAAATCATTGGCATGAGAATTGTCAGAGATAGAGTTAGAGGCACGTTGAAACTCTCTCAGGCTGAGTATGTGAAAAAGGCAGTTAGCATGTTCAATATGGATAAGTGAAAACTAGTTAAAGCACCCTTGGGCAGTCAGAGGAAAAACATGACCACACGAGTAAGGTTCCTTACGCTTCAACTATTGGTTCACTTATGTATGTTATGATTTGCACCAGACCGAAAATTGCCCATGTAGTTACACGAGTAATCCTAGAAAGAAACATTGGGAAGTTATGAAGTGGAGCTTGAGGTTTTTAAGAGGCTCTTCATAAACTTGCTTTTGTTTCTCAGGAAAGAGTTTAGAGGTACATGAATATGTTGATGCTGATCTAGCTGAAGACATTATTATCAGAAGAAGTACTACGAGCTATATTTATACTATGAGTGACACTGCAGTATCATGGGGCTCTAATCTACAGAAGATAATTTCTTTTTCTACTATAGAAGCTGAGTATATAACAATGACAGATGCTACAAAGGAGATGATATGACTATAAGGCTTCTTGGAAGAACTGAGCAAGAAGAATCAGAAGGGCATTACCTGCAGTAATAGTCAGAGATCCATATTCATTACAAGGAATCCAACATTTCAGACTAGGACCAATCACATTCAGATCATGTATCACTTCATACAATTATTATTGGATGACAAACATTTGTTGCTTAAAAAAATTTGTGGAAGCAATAACCTTGTTGATATACTGATTAAGGGTGCCACACTTTAGAAATTGAAGTTGTGTGCAACTTCAGTTGATCTTCTATATAGAAGACATGAGCTTTGAGATGTAGATGTGGAGGATAATAATTTGAGGAAGATAACGATGCTACGTGTGCACCGGTCTCCAAATAAGAGATTTGTTATGTGGAGCTTGGTTTCAAAATAAAAAATAAATAAATAATAATAATAATAATACCTACTCCCACCTCTTCAATTTCGCGGAACGATGCAGCCCCCTCCTCCTTTTATTCGCGAACATCAGCCTCCCTCCTCGTAATACAAGGATCACTCTCCCTTGTTTTTTGGTTTTTGTGATTGGCTCACGGGTGGAAGAAGAAAGGGGATCACACTACACTATTTCCTTCCCTTGTGCTTCTTCGACGTGAGGTTGAAGGGGGGCGAACTCCAATGAAATCACAGTCTTTGTTTTTCCCTATTTTATTCTTCTTCGGTGCCGCTGCTCACGGGTTGAGAGAAAGAAGGAGAGGAGAGAGGGAGTGAGAGAGAGAGAGAGATTCTTTCTTGGGAGTGAGAGATTCTTTCTTGTAAGTCGATGTGGTCGACAATGTAAATCCTTAACGTAATAAAACCCTATGCAACTGCATGGATATAGGTAATTTGTCGAACCACATAAATCTGTGTGTCTGTTCTTTTCTGTTTGCGAATTTCTCGTTCCATTTTTCACTTTATTGTCGTCGTTTTTTTTTCAACACGATTATGGTTGACAATGATTCAAGTTTTTTTTTCAGTTGGAACATTTTCGGTCAGCAAACATAATATAGTTATTTTGGACATTTTTATATGTAAATATCGAACGGAGGCCTGTAGTAGTGACACTTTCCTGATTTGAAACAACAATAAAATAGTGTTACGTTCGAAGCAAGTTCGACGATGTTCCTGTAGGAAACAGATGCATCACATTTTATTGGCATTCTCATGATCGAAACAGAACTCTATTGTTCTCTCAAACAAAGCTTAAAATGATAGCTCCTTAAATAAATTCTAAAGTCATAGCTCCTTCAAAGGGAGCCTAAAATTACCATTTTTTAGGCATCTGAACCTGACCTGAAATTTTAAAGCCATAAATGGACAGTTACCCGACCCGGCCAAAATTTTAATCTTATGCGAATGCGAATGCTATTTGGATCGTATTCGGGCCGGATTCGCAACCCGTTCACCCGGTCACTCTCTCCGGAACCAGAAGAGTACTTCGGCTCTGTTGATCGATTTCCATCGTCGGATAGCTTGACACCATTACGAGCTACTTCTCTAAGAACAAACCCCACTTCTCTCCATGGCTTCACCGGTCGAAGAAGATAAAGCATTACAACGTAATCCCTCGTTCCCTTCTATTCAACCCACTCTTTATGTTCCAGGCATCTGTGATTTTTGGAGTCAAAAGATTCGTTTGATGCATGCATTTGATTACACATACTCCATTTTCTTCTGCGTATATATGCCAAACGCTAGATTTTCGTTATTTCTTGAATTTTGTTGATTTTTCTTAATGAACTAGCACCTTGGTGAGAGAAGGGGACAAGTAAGGATTTTGTCAAATAAATCCCTTCAAATGCATATATATGATCAAGATGGCATGGTTTGCTATGATTGTATGAGTGGCTTTGCTGATTAAACTAGAAGTAGTAAAAATAACCCGATAAAATAAAGATTTTAGTTTTTTTAGTAAAAAAAAATTGCCTTGGCAAAGTTTAAGTTTGATTCGACCATCCTGGCTGAAAAGTTCTGTATAGAGAATACAAGAACGATGTATCAACTGTGATTTGCTAGGTTTTCTGGTAGAATTGGGAAAGAAACATTTGAACTTGGAGAGGTTTTGCTGCAAACCTTTTTTAACTTCGTAAAGTTGCCAAATTATGCTGTTAGAGCGCAAACCAAATCCTTTCCCTTGTGAAGTCCCTTTTTGCAACCACCCTCTATACTTTGGGTTGCGTGCTTCATTCTTGTTGGTCTCCTTACCCTTATTTCCAAAGTCACTCTGCACTTCTCATACTCTTTGTGCCTGCTTCATCCCTAATATGTATTTGAATGATGCTAATTTTTCTATCTTCTATCGCAGATGACTTCTATTAAGAAAACATATTCAATATTTACATCATACACTGCTGCCAAAGATGCTCATGATAAATTTAGTATTTATTATATATTTATAGTACATGTACGTGTATTATATAGATATAGATGATATATTTTGTGTGATCCACAGTACTTACCATTTTATTGTAATATTTGTTTGTAATTGGTTTTGCAGACTAGCATATAGTTTTATTTTTACGGCGTCACATTGGAGATCATGTTACATTGAATTTCATTGGCATAAAATTAAATAAGAAATCTTTTAAATGGATGATGCTTCCTAAAGGTTTTTTTGAAATTTTGATTCTCAGATTCCTTGAAATCAGTAGCAGTTGTCGGAGGTGGAGTCAGGTGTGCTCTAGCCACTTGAACCCCAAAAGTCATTTTAATGTTTTATGACTATTTATTTAAGTTCTTAGTATTTGTTTTGCCAATGCTGGCATTGGTCTTTATTCTCTAAAATGCTGGGTTTTTTTGTCAATATTATTTGAATTAAATATTAGAATATCTTCCATTTCCTGGCAATAGTTCTTTCAATTTCTTCTGATTCGTTATTATTGTATGTTTCTTATTATCTTTCAGGAATGTGAGCTAGAATTACACAAATTAAATGCCTATTTTCGTAAACCCCTCACTGTATTACATTAATACACGCTGCTATTATTAATTTAATTCCTATATAGAATTGTAGCTTCATCAGCTCAAGTTGGGGCCTTTATTTTGCCGTTCATACCGAATCAAAAAAGAAACAAAAAGTAGAAAAATAAATGCACCCTCTCAATCAATTTCTACATGTATTAGTTTTGATGATTTTTGCAGTGAAGATCTTTTTTATCTAGATGTGTCTATGATGTTTTTGCTATGATCTAACATTCAAAATATCATTTATTTTCTTGGAAGCTGCTTTATTATACTGTTACTTCAAAGAAATACCAGTGAAATATCCAACACGCATTAAAGAAATTGGCCTAAAAGGTCTTTTCGTTGGGGTGGAAGGGCATGCAATGAAAGCAAGCATCTCTAGTTTGCTCTATATATGTGGCTGCTTTCTCACTATATTTGTTTTCCTAGTAGATGTTCTTTTTTTTATTTTATATTATTGTTAACTTTTTGGTGAAATTTCATGACCGTGACTATCAAAAATGGATTTTCAGTGGGCTTGCTGCAGCATATAAACTTAAAATAAATGGTTTGAAGGTCACTCTGTTTGAAGTTCAAGATAGAGCTGGAGGGAAAATAAAAAGTACATCGGAAGATAGTTTTATATGGGATGAGGGGGCAAATACAATGGTGAAATCAAGAACAACCTCCTTTTTTTATTGGGACATATACATAGATACCGCACAATTCTTATTTATATACATATCTAGCACTCAAAGTTTGATATTTACATTTATAACACCTTGTTATGATATACCTATATATGAAAATGTGTGTTCAATTTTAAAAATGTAGTGCTGGTGAATTTTTTGATGTAATGTTTAAATTTGAGTAGTATGCATGTAAATAAGAGTGTTTAGGTGTTAGATATGCAAATACATAAGAATTGTGTGTTATGTATGAAAATGCCCCTTTTTTATTTTGCTAGAATAAAAATTTCTTTGAAATGTAAATGCCATCATTTAAACACTAAAATAAGGCAACTTGTTTGTCAATATTGGGGGTATATAATCACACCCATAGCTAACTTGATAGGGATGCCATAATTTCTCAACCAAACATCTCCTTTAAAATGCAGACAGAAAGTGGAATTGCAGTTGGAAGCTTGCTTGATGATTTGGGACTTCGAGACAAACAACAGTTCGTATGTTCTCCTCTATGCTGTCCCTTTGTTTCAATTCGGTGTTTGCTGATATTTTAATTCAAATTTATGTAAAATTCTTTTGTATTGGTTATGAAAATGATTGCAAAGAATGTTTGAAGGGAGTTGTCTTGGTGTGTGTGTGTGTATTTTTTGAAAAGCCCAAGGGCTGATTTTATTGAAATAGAAAAGATACACAAAGGTTGTATGAGAGAGCTCAGTAGAGACGCCCTACCCATACTATAACAAGTACAATACTACACTAACAAAAGATAGATAGACTCAAAAAATTTAAAACATGCAGAAAACAAGTATCTAGGGACGAGCCAGTTTAGTCTTGCCTCTTTTTCTAGTTTTAGGAGCGGAGCCAGATAACAAACTTTGAAGTGTTGTGCCATTGCCAGGAGTAACCAAAGTATCATCCATTAAGTTTCCAAGTTGGAGTGTGCCCCCAACCTTCTTCCGCTGGGAAGTGTAAACCTGTCATGCTTCATCTGAAGACTGACTCATGTGATCTCTGTCTGATTAGATATTAGAACCACAGTAGAAGGAAATACAACCGTTGCTACAACAATAGATTCCAGTGTCTGTGAAGTGTGAATTGTCACATTTGTATCTGATGCTTTCTGAATAGGTGTTGCGGGGCTATCCTGACTTTCGGTTCTAACATTATCCCTTATAATATGGTCATACACCATTTTCTGTCTTGTGGTGATTCCCCCTTCAGGTTGGCTGTCATCAGTTTTGTTAGGAGCGCTTTTAGGCACGTGAAGTACACTAATATCATGTTTTTGCTTCTGACTATTGGTTCTCAACTGTGGGTACAATCTGAAATATTTCTCTTGCGAGTGTCCAAACCTCGTTCAGTGCTTGCAGTAGTAAGATTTTTGTTCCATAATGATTTTTTGCCAATAACCATTGTGAGCAAAGCCAAGCCAGACTTCTTCTACATCTGGTAGTGTAATATCTCTTTCAATCAAAATCCTTGCAATAGAGAGTCTCGAGAAATGAACTATAGGTGTGTCTACCTGCAAAAGTTTTCCAAGGATAGTCTCAATTGCATATAAGGTAGGCATGTCAAAGAATTGAAATTTGAGTTCAGATAATGAGAACTATATAAGCGCAATTGGGGGTTCTTGACTGGGATAGTCTCGATTGTAATGAATTTCTTTGAGAAAATCGTTGTGTAATTTTCTTATATGCTCAACTATATCATAACATGTCTTCCATCGAAAATACCCACCTGCTAAGCCCTAACTAGTTTCAAATCTTCAAAAACCTTCTTGATAGTCTCCATCATAGGGCGACCTTCTTCTTAGTACGACCTAATTGGAACTTTCCAACTAGTAAAAATTTGTATTTTCCTGCACGAGTTGAAATTTCAGCGTTAGAGAAGAATAGTGCTGGTTTGCCTGCCTTTTTATCTTTTTTTTTTATGAGATTGCAATCTCTATGTCATGCAACAGAATCATGGTATGTCTGTGGGAACATCAGACTATCTGTAAGATGAAAAGAGGAGTTGCGTTTGTGAACCACTGTAGTATCGGAGGGTTTGCGAGATTATCACCGGCGAGAGCGGTGGTGAAGGATAGCCCTGAGGCCATGAGCGTGCTTCACACAAGCACAATAGGTGCAGAAGAAGCTCTTCCAAGTGAGACAGAGGGGAGCCGAAGAGGTCGGGGCGAAACCGCAGTCGCAGCTCGACGAGGTCGACTCAGTAACGAGCCGCGAAAGAGTCGTCGCAGCTTGACGAGGTCGACGCAAAATGACGAGCCGCAGAACTTGCAACTCGATGAGATCCACGCTTCTCTGGCGCGAGGGAGAGACGACGAAGCCACAAAATCCCTTCGTCGTTGGATCGATGATCGTGGAGAACGCAAAATTCGTCGTCGAGTACGAGAACTTCCGGAAAGCTGAAGGATCAAACCATGGAATCGCCATCGGGCGAAACCCTAGCGGAGCAGCCCGCCACCGACGCCATCTATTCAAATAAAATAATTCTAATTAGCAGGATTTTAATTGAAATAAGTGAAAAAAGAGTGCAAGAGAGGAAGTATTTATAGATACAAAAACTAATATTATAAAAATTTAGCTTATGGCATCAAATTTTAATTGTTATGATATTAATATTTTTCATTCAATATTATTGCAAGATAATGTGATATGTAGGTGTAAAGATTTAAGTATCTTAGATCTATTTTATAAAAATAGAGTCATATATGTAGATATGACTTTTATAGATGAAATTGAATGGTTTAAATAGAGACACATCTCAGGAGTTAGTGTGATAAAAGGATGTCATGAAAGCTTAAAAGGTAGATTTTATTACTTTGCGATTAGGCTAAATATGTTGTATGGATCTGAATATTAGTTTATTAAATTGTCATTGATATTTAAGTTGAGCGGGACAAAAAATAGATTGTTTAGATAGATGTGTGGTTAAACCAAAATGATAACTTAAGAATTGAGTATATTAGAGGAAATTTTGGGGTGACGTATATTGAAGATAAGATAATTGAAAGCAAACTTAGATGCTTTGGACATTTACATAAATGATAGAAAATACAGTTGTTAAAGGAATTGATAAAGTTAATGTAGAGGATTAAGAAAGAAAATATTTTGACCATAGGTATTGCTAATAGAAGTTATTCAAATTTATTTGTGAAGATAGATGTAACTCATCAGACAAAACTTAACATAAATGAATGAAAAATAATGAATTATAATGCTGTAAAGGATAATTTTAATGATTATGATTTTGCTGATGATTCACGAAGAATAAATTTGTTGCACCAATGTATTATTTAGATTTTATGATGTCAAGCTTAGGGTCCAAAATGTTATGTTTGCTTTATTAAATGAACACTTAAAGAGATAAATGGAACTTTTTATTTACCCCTTCAGTTTAATTCTACTTTTGGGCCATAATAACATGGGATTAGTTGTTTTCTTTGGGCTGAAGCTTGTGCTGTAAAATATTCTCTCAGATTGAAAGGTAGGTATGATCAAGTGCTAGCAACTTTATTTAGGGTTATTGATTACACTTATTGAGGCATTAGAGCCTGAGAACCTCAAGACATGGGTGGGACAAGATGCCATTTTTGCTTGGATGATAAGGGCCATTGGAGAACAATTTTTCTAACTGTAAGGATTTCCTAATTCTTTTACTTGCAATATCTTGTATTGCCTTGCTTTCTTCAAGTTATGTTAGCTAATTTTTATGTTCATGCTCATCTTTCTTCATAAAAGGTATCGTTTGATTTTTGTCATTATCATCCTTTGTTTTCAATATTGTTTAACTTTTTTCAAGCGTGATTTTCCTTTCTATTGCACGATTTGTCTATCGTGCATAATATTTTATTCACCCAACGTAATTATATTGTTATTTTTTTGTGGAACTTCACATATATATATATATATATTATGAAAAACCCAAGGGCATGATTTTCCTTTCTATTGCACGGTTTGTCTATCGTGCATAATATTTTATTCACCCAACATAATTATATTGTTATTTTTTTTGTGGAACTTCACATATATATATTATGAAAAGCCCAAGGGCTAATTGTATTGAAATAGAAAAGATACATAAAGGTTATATGAGAGGGTCCAATAGAGGCACCCTACTCATACGATACCAAGTATAGTAATACCCCAATAAAAAAGATACCGATAGACTAAAAAAAAATTTAAAATATGCATAAAAGAAGTAGCTAGGGATGAGCCAATTTAGTTTTGCCTCTTTCTCTAGTTTTAGGAGCGGAGCCAGATAACAAACTTTGAAGTGTCGTGTCATTGCTAGGAGTAACCAAAATACCATCCACTAAGTTTCCAAGTTGGAGTGTGCCCCTAGTTTTCTTTCGTCGAGAAGTTTAAACCTGTCATTTTTCATCTGAAGATTGGCTGATGTGATCATCGGTCTAAGTAGATATTAGAACCGCAGTAGAAGGAAAGACAGTCGTTACCACAACGATAGATTTCAGTGTTTGTGAGTGTGAATTGTCATCTATACACCTGATGCTTTTTAAATAGGAGCTGCGGAGCTATCTTGATTTTTGGTTCAAACATTATCCCTTATAGTATGGTCAGAAGAAGCGTTCCCAGGGGCAGATACTAACTCCTGTCTTGTGGTGATTCCCTCAGGTTGGCTGTCATTAAGTTTGCTGGGAGCGCGTTCAGGTGCACTAACAATAAGTTTCTACTTTTAAATTGGTTCTCAACTGGGGGTGCAATCTGAAACATTTCTCTTGCGGGTGTCTAAACATCATGCAGTGCTTGCAGTAGTAAAGTTTTTGTTTCATAATGATTTTTTATCAATAACCATTATGAGCAGAGTCAAACCAGAATTCTTCTCAGACTTCTTCTACATATGGTAGTGTATATCCCTTTCAATCAAAATTCTTGCAATAGAGGGTCTTGAGAAATAAACTATAGGTATGCCTACCTGCAAAAATTTTCCAATGATAGTCCCAATTGCATATAAGGTAGGTAGATCAAAGAAATGTAGCTTGAGTTCAGGTAATGAGAACCATATTGGCACAATTGGGGCTTCTTGACTGAGATTAAAATCAGAAGTCCATTTGAGCAATTTCATATAATTGTCCTCGATTGTGATGAATTTCTTTGAAAAAATTCTTGTGTAATCTTCTTTTATGCTCAGTTATATCATAACATATCTTCAGTCGAAAACTCACTCGCCAAGCCCCAACTAGTTTGAAATCTTCAAAATCCTTCCTGATAGTCTCCATTTTAGGGCGACCTAATTGGAACTTTTCAACTAATGTAAATTTGTATTTTATTGCACGAGTTAAAATTTTCGGCATTAGAGAAGAATAGTGCTAGTTTGTCCGCCTTTTTCTCAACTTTTTTGATGAGATTGCAATCTCCATGTCCTGCAACAGAATCATGGTATATCTGCGGGAATGTCGGACTATCTGTGAGGTGAAAATGGGAGCTCCGTTTGTGAACCATTGTAGCATCAGAGGGTTTGACGGGGTTATCAC